TCTTTCAATAGAAAAATTGTGAATAGAAAAATCTTTGATATGTAACACAATGAAAATTTTGAGCCTATTGAGAATTTTGATTGCTTTTAGGTCAATCTTTGAATATGAAAATCGTCGAATAAAAATTTTAATCCTATAAAAATTTTGCTTGGTTTTAGGCTAATTTTTGAATAGAAAAATCTTTGAATGAAAATTCAAAATTTAGGTTAAATTTGAATAAGAGAAATACAAAAGAAAAATTTTAAAGTTCCTTTTTTCAATCTCACACTGAAAAGAATTTTTAATGATAGAAATTTTTAGGTTAATTCTTTTCACATAATAAAAAGAAAAGATTGAAACTAAAAGGATTAAAAATCAGTACAAAACTAAAAGTAGTTTTGAGAAATTAAATTTACATAATTGGATTAGTGTGAGGCGAAATAAACTTTTTTGTCTAACAAAAGAAAAAGGGACCATTGAAAAGTAAGGAAAATAAAGGGATCTAATTTAAGGAAAATTATTTATCAGTTTTTCCTCCTTCTCCGAGCTGGCTACGCTGTTGTCTTAAATTTAGCGGCTACGCATACGTTGGTTTAACTACTTAACTATCAATTATTATACAAAAACAATTCCAAATAACTAATAAACAAATAATGTAGTACAAAATTACTAATATGAGAATAATAAAAGTGATACAGACTTAGTATTGAGGTAGATAAGATCTATTTAAATACTCCTTTATCGGATGATTTGTTTTTTTTATTAATTTTTAGGTAGTATTTAATATGCAAAAGCAATTATTCTATTATACACAAGTATAACATAGAAAAGGGAAATAAAAAATGGAAAAAAATGGACAAGACTCCAGTTGGAAACATTTTTTGATAAATGGGAACATACTCTCACTTTGTGGAACATACTCATACTTGATTTTGGCATGTATATATCTCAGTAATATAACTAGTTATAGACTTATCTTGGAATAGAATATGAATTACAGTTATTAGACTGTTAAAAAATATTTTCATGCCCTTATTTATTGTTCTAAATTTTATATTTATAAAGTAAATAATAATATATAAAATATAATTTATCAAAAATATTAAGGTTAATTATTTGAAGAATTGTTTTTTTATTAATTTTTTTGAATGCTTTCTTCAACTTTTAAATATATTTTTTCATTTATCTCACATTTATTCTTCTTCAATTTTTCTAATTTTTCGCTCCACAAGCCTTTACAATTTGCTTATTTGTCGGCTCAATCATCAGCTTTACTTTATTCATAGAAAGAGTTAATTTGTGGTCCTTCATATCGTAGCCATCAAGAACAATTTCGGATTTATTTCCAACAAAGATTGGGGTGTCTTTGAAGGGAACGTAGACAGATGGGCCGTTTTCAATGTCATAAATCAATTTTCCAGACAATTTGTCTCCTTTAATTTGACATTCTACAGGAGTTCCGTTATTCTGGGCAACACACTTCGGCTGGTTTTCGACTTGTAAAGTCACTGAATATTTTGATTTGCCACCAGATACAATTAATTGATTGGACGAATTTGGGTTATTTGCCATCATTTTGGCGTCTCCATGCATTCTTGACCCTGCTACAGGCACAAACATCCCATATATCACTTTACAATCCTTTTGGGTTTGGAGAGAATCGGAGGTTGAAGCACTTCGATTAGTATTCATTCCCTCAGATGTAGCAATAATTGAAATGATTAGAAGGGTAGAAGTGAAGAAGATGGCCATTTTTGGTTTGTTTTTAGGGTTGTTTTGGGGTGTTTTTTGAGTTTTTAGTTGTTGAGGAGTTTATTTGATAATTCGATAGCTAAATAATCGGTGTTTATATATTAATGTATTTGAGGGGTTTTGAAATTAAAAACTTGAGAAATAATAAAAGTGCAATTACATATGTTTACATCATCTTACATGTCATAAAATGAATAAAAAATTTTTATGAAATTACCATTTCAATAATAACTCCAAAGCTTTCCTTCATATATTATATAATATGATGCCAAAGTAATGCAATTGCACTTTTGTTTTTCTCAGATGAAAATATGGCAAAACTGACAAAAAAACTTTCAAACCCCCTAAAATACATTAATATATAAACACCGATTATTTAGCTATCGAATTATCAAATAAACTCCTCAACAACTAAAAACTCAAAAAACACCCCAAAACAACCCTAAAAACAAACCAAAAATGGCCATCTTCTTCACTTCTACCCTTCTAATCATTTCAATTATTGCTACATCTGAGGGAATGAATACTAATAGAAGTGCTTCAACCTCCGATTCTCTCCAAACCCAAAAGGATTGTAAAGTGATATATGGGATGTTTGTGCCTGTAGCAGGGTCAAGAATGCATGGAGACGCCAAAATGATGGCAAATAACCCAAATTCGTCCAATCAATTAATTGTATCTGGTGGCAAATCAAAATATTCAGTGACTTTACAGGTTGAAAACCAGCCGAAGTGTGTTGCCCAGAATAACGGAACTCCTGTAGAATGTCAAATTCATGGAGACAAATTGTCTGGAAAATTGATTTATGACATTGAAAACGGCCCTTCTGTCTACGTTCCCTTCAAAGACACCCCAATCTTTGTTGGAAATAAATCCGAAATTGTTCTTGATGGCTACGATATGAAGGACCACAAATTATCTCTTTCTATGAATAAAGTAAAGCTGATGATTGAGCCGACAAATAAGCAAATTGTAAAGGCTTGTGGAGCGAAAAATTAGAAATTGAAGAGGAATAGCCGTGAGAGATAAATGAAAAAATATATTTAAAAGTTGAAGAAAGCATTCAAAAAAATTAATAAAAAAACAATTCTTCAAATAATATATAAATTTAATATTTTTGATAAATTTTATTTCATATATTTTATTAAATAGACCTCTAGATATCCCTTCAAATCATTTGATGTCCACTTGATCTGTCCTTATTTCTTGATATTCCCGATTTAGGAGGTAAAAAAGATATCAGCCGATTTTGAGGAATTAAGAAGAGTGTGAATATTATTAAGGGGAGTAGGTGAAAATATTTAATTGCAAAGAATGCAGAGGCGATATTAATAATTCTTCTGAAATCCGCATTAATCCATACAAATCCTTTTTTAAATCCTTATATCTTTTCTCATTCTCTATCCCTTTCCGGCTAATAAACTTTCTGATGGCAGCGCCGTATGCAAAATATTTTTGAGGTTCCAGTCTTTGGAAAAAAATTTTCAATTGTTGGCTTAAAAATATGATATAGAACTTAAAAACTTCTAAATTTACGCATTAATCCACACAATTGCTCCAATTTCTTTTGAATCCTGATATATACTATTATTCTGGTTGGACTGAATTACTAAATATATTCATTTATTCTATATTTTTATTCTCCATATAAAAAATAAAATATTATTTTATTTTTGACTTTTTCAGCGCCACAGGCAATTTTTGTGTAAAAAATTTTATTGACCAATTTTCATCCAAAAATGGGAATTTACGAATCGAAAACGGAAGACGAAAATCCACGAAAATCACGAAAGACGAAACGAAAATTTTTAGCAGCTCTGCTCGGCACTTAGAAATTAAAATTGAATATTCAATCTAGGAAAATTAACATGTCACATTCTCTGGGCATAAGATTCACCTGTCAATCAAACTCAAATAACACCTATAGTTGTGAGTTTGATTGACAGGTGTCAATTTTGGTGTCACTTTTGGGGCTGACATTTCGGGAGGACTAACTACTTACATAAGACTAAAAATACGCATTTTGCCTCACTAGAAAGCACAAATTTGCTAATGTTCGCAACCAAATTTATTTAAGTGCGAGTAAAAATTATAAATTTTATCCATATTTCGTCCATATTTCGGGATTTTTCCCATATTTTCAGCCATATTTTGAAAAATTTCGTCCATATTTTATGTACCTATTTTCGATTTTTTCATCCATATATTTGCCAGCCCTACACATCAAATATTTAGTAAAGAGTTACTTGTTAAAATAATTAAACTCAAATGTCCCATTTTCTCTACATCTTTATTTTAAAATGTTTATTATCCTTGTTGTTTACATTTTCTCTCTCTTTTCTACGCTGCTCCTCATATAATAATAGTAAAAAGAAAAACTATCATTTATATAGTTTGTCAATAAAAAGTAGGGAAAGCGAACCAGCCGGCGCTGTTTCCCGCTAGTAGAGTAGAGTCCACGGCACTGAAATTGTGCATGCTCTTAACGTAAGTAAACAAGCAATCCAATCGAGAAAATATTTAAAACACCACGGCAAGAGTCCGACGAACCCTGCGGGGTCAAGCAATTGCAGTCTACGAACGCTCTGCTAGCGGTTGCATTCAGTTGGAGTCTGGTTGTGTTCGCTATGTTTTTAGCCGCATAATTTTTTAAATGAAATGCGTAAAATAAAGTGTGACAAGGAAGTAATGGGACACCGTATTTATGGCTTAACTTAATTAAAATAAAAGATAATGAGTTCAAATAGAGCTTAAATGATAGGGAACTAATTAAAGAACAGATAAAATCAAGAATTTTCTAAATGCCTAGTCTTTGATTAGATACAGAGGAGGCGTGAATAAGTATTTTAGGTAAAAGTTCGCACCACACTGTGTTATGATTTTCTTACATTCCCAAATGAGTGATTGTTGAAGCTATTCCAAACATTTATGCAGGTTAGCGAAGAACCTGACCTTCGAAATAGATCTCATTATAAATTAATCGGAATCAAATCCTGTGAGATGTTAGCCATATTTGAGATTATATAGAACGGAAAAATGTTTTTGTTAAAACTGACACAGCAGCCTGTTTATTGGCGAATACCTCTTATAATTAACAGCTAAGTCGATTTATTCGAAAAAAATATGAACAAAAGAAGACAGGTATTGTGAAGTTTAACATTTTTTAATCTACTTGAATTTCTTTATTTTTTTACTTCACATTCAATTTTTTTCGTTTTTATCCTTCCATATTTACACTTTCTTTTATTCCTTTTCTTTACTTTTTCCCCTCACATTTTCATAGTACAAGCCTTTGGGGAAGTTTTCTTATCAGTAGCGGTAATTTTGAAGTCGACATCATTAATTTTGAGAAGAGTTTCATGCGTTCCAACATTGTAGCCTACAAGCTGGATGACACACTTGTTGTCGGTGAAGAAAAAAACGTCTTTGAATGGAACCTTAAAATGTTCGGATTGTCATTGTATATACACTCAGATTTATACAATCTCCATTTTATATACGATTTTTAACTTAATCAGCTATTGGTACGAGAATAGAGGTGGGGGAGAAGGAGGTGACGGAGGGTCAAACATTGGGAGCCCTTGAAAAATTAGAGACTGCTCTTGTTAAGAGGATATCAAGGAGTATAATATACACCCAAATTTATACACTCTCCATTTTATGTACGATTTTTAACTTAATCAGCTATTGGTACGAGAATAGAGGTGGGGGAGAAGGAGGTGAAGGACGGTCAAACATTGTGAGCCCTTGGAAAATTAGAGACTGCTTTTGTTAAGAGGATATCAAGGAGTATAATATACACCCAGATTTACATACTCTCATTTCATATACGATTTTTAACTTAGCCATTGGTAGGAGCATAGAGGTGGGGGAGGGGGGGGGAGGAGGAGGTGAAGGAGTGTCAAACATTGTGAGCCCTTGATAACTTAGAGACGACCACTGTTAAAAGGATATAAAGAAACGCTCATGCAGGTCAACCCTATTATTTTCTTTCAATTGGATTAATACTGGTTAACAGTGTCAGAAAAATGTCAGAAAATGCCAAAATCCTATAGATATTGGGGTTGTAATCAATAGTGATTGCCCCCCTTTTGTGGGCCACCAACTACCTTCAGGGCCCGTAGAATAAATTCGGGGTAAGGGGTATTTAACCCCTACCTTGGGGTTAAATAACCCGTAACCCGCAGAATAAATTCAAACCCCTAGCTTCGGGTTAAATGACCGGGTCAGATAACCCGGTTATCTGACCCGCGTAACATTACCGGTAGAATAAATTAATTACCCGGGTTGAATAACCCGCAGGTAAGGGGCAAATTGCAACCCTACTAGGGGGTAGGGTAACATGCGAATTATGCATAATTTCCAAAAAATTAAAACATTTATTAAATTGCAAAATTTTAAAAAATTTTAAATTTCTATTCTAATTTTTTAATTTCTATTTTTTAAATTACATATCTAATTTTTTAATTTTCTATTAAACTTTTAATTTCCTTTAAAATAAGCCCAAAGAGGGGACTGTCTAAAATATTCTATAATAATGGGTTTAAAGATCAAATAAAATATTTACCTAAGCACGTGAGAATCATTGCAGGAAGGGTCTCTCTCTTTTTAATAAAAGTAATTACTCTTTTTAATAGAGTTTCGAACCCGGGCCGGGCCCGGACCGGGTTTTTCCGGATCCGGTGGCCCGGAACCGGGTATTTTTGAGAAAATCCGCTCCGGGTGCGATTTTGAGACTTTTTAATAATAGTTAACAATTATTGCAAAATGGGTTTGACAATAAAATATAAAGGGTCAAATAACCCAGTAACTCAACTAGTTAAATAACCCTTAGCTCGGTGTTAAATAACCCTTAACTCGGGGTTGAATTTATTCTACCGATTTTAACCCGTAGCTAAGGGTTATTTGCCCCCGGGTTGCTTAACCGGGTTATTTAACCGGGTTATCCAACCCCGAATTTATTCTACGGGCCCAGGCAACATGAACTCTCTGGGCCCGTAGAATAAATTCGGGGTTGGATAACCCGGTTAAATAACCCGGTTAAGCAACCCGGGGGCAAATAACCCTTAGCTACGGGTTAAAATCGGTAGAATAAATTCAACCCCGAGTTAAGGGTTATTTAACACCGAGCTAAGGGTTATTTAACTAGTTGAGTTACTGGGTTATTTGACCCTTTATATTTTATTGTCAAACCCATTTTGCAATAATTGTTAACTATTATTAAAAAGTCTCAAAATCGCACCCGGAGCGGATTTTCTCAAAAATACCCGGTTCCGGGCCACCGGATCCGGAAAAACCCGGTCCGGGCCCGGCCCGGGTTCGAAACTCTATTAAAAAGAGTAATTACTTTTATTAAAAAGAGAGAGACCCTTCCTGCAATGATTCTCACGTGCTTAGGTAAATATTTTATTTGATCTTTAAACCCATTATTATAGAATATTTTAGACAGTCCCCTCTTTGGGCTTATTTTAAAGGAAATTAAAAGTTTAATAGAAAATTAAAAAATTAGATATGTAATTTAAAAAATAGAAATTAAAAAATTAGAATAGAAATTTAAAATTTTTTAAAATTTTGCAATTTAATAAATGTTTTAATTTTTTGGAAATTATGCATAATTCGCATGTTACCCTACCCCCTAGTAGGGTTGCAATTTGCCCCTTACCTGCGGGTTATTCAACCCGGGTAATTAATTTATTCTACCGGTAATGTTACGCGGGTCAGATAACCGGGTTATCTGACCCGGTCATTTAACCCGAAGCTAGGGGTTTGAATTTATTCTGCGGGTTACGGGTTATTTAACCCCAAGGTAGGGGTTAAATACCCCTTACCCCGAATTTATTCTACGGGCCCTGGACGGTATGTTAGCGACAGGGGCCTTTCTATTTGTTAAGTCCAATTATACAAACCCACACCCACCTCAACAATAATATTATCAGAAATGACAAATTTCATTGTTCCAGTCAAAGCTTCGTTGCGCATTCCGCAATCGTCTGAACTTCCTGTCTTAGCCATACATAACACCTCATTACCGACAACCAAAGCCACCGAGGTATTGCTGAACGTAGCTCCTCCGGTCACTTTCAAGGTGTTGGATGTGTTTTCAGCGTTTGGCTTGAAAGTTTTTCTTTTGTTATTTTCCTTGGTATCCGCATGATCGAGCATTCCAAAATAGGTTGTACAACCAGTAGAGGTTGAAGCGCTTCGATCGCCTGCTCCCTCGGTCATAGCAATCATTGAAATGATTAGAAGAGCAGAAGTGAGGAAGATGGACATTTTTGGATTTTAGGGATGTTTTGGGGTGTTTTTTGAGTTTTTTAGTTGTTGAGGAGATTGTTTGATGGTTGGATAGCTAATTAATTGGTGTTTATATATTAATGGATTTGGGGGTTTTGAAAGGTTTTTTGACAAATATTTCGTTAGATTTTCATCATATTACCCCTCTAGGACGATGTTTTGTAATGCACATTGTTGCGAAATTCATTTTCTCTATTTCCCTATTTGCCCTTTTAACAGTCTTACATATTCCTCTAAAAATAATAATTTAACGGAAGCTACCCAAATTCAAAAATTTACATCATATAAAGAAATTTATTATTCAATAAAAATGTTATTTATTTATTAAAGTGCAATAGGAAATTTTTAAAGAAATTAAGGGAGGAAGAGGGGGTAGGGAAGCTAAAAATTTTCTCAGAAGTGATATGATGAAATCATAACATAATCTAGTCAAAATCCTTTCAAAACCCTCAAATCCATTAATATATAAACACCAATTAATTAGCTATCCAACCATCAAACAATCTCCTCAACAACTAAAAAACTAAAAAAATCCCCTAAAAATACCCAACAATGGCCATCTTCTTTACTTCTACCCTTCTAATCATTTACCTTCTTGGAATTACCGAGGGGGTGAATACAGGCATTCCACGCGGATCTTCTTCAACTGGTTGTGTGACCTACATGGGCCAGATTGAGCACATGGAAGGAGACTCTGAAAACATTCAATGGAAGGAAAATACTAACGGAGAAGCCCATTTAATCCTAAAAAAGTCTATTGAAGGATTAGACAAAGTAACTCTTATAATTGAAGGCAAAACTTGTAGTGCTTCCCTCAACAAGCCTGGAGCGTGTCAAATTGATGACCAGGCCCATGCCGGGCAATTAATATTCGAAACTGCAAAGGCTAAAATTGTGGTCGAATTTGGGGCAGCTCAAATCTTCTCTGGGAATATGTGCGAAATTGAAATTGAGAAGTATGACACAGCAAACCATCAAACTTTCATTAAAATCAACGAAGGGAAATTTAAAATCATCCCAGTTTCAGCACCTATGCCTATTGCCTGCAAATTTAAGAAGATTTGAAGAAGTAAAATGGTGGAAGTAAAATTGGGGGAAGTAAAAAGGAGGGAAGAAAATCTGTAAAATTATAAGAATGGAGAAAGCATCTTTAAAATTAAAATTCTTCAGATTTTTACATTTAGTATAACCAATAATAGCTTTCTTTTGTTTATAACCTTAATATACATAAAGTGTTAAAAATAAAATTATTTTTATAGTTGTTCAACTCATTATTACCGTTTATCCTTTATCCCTATATACAAGGTAACAAGAAAGAAATGGGGCACACATTTTATGCCATAACCTTTTATATATGAAAGATAATTGGAAAGCTTATATGATAGAACATTAAACTGAGAACAAAAATAATCAAGAATTTTTGAAGAGCCTACCCTTCCCTTGGATACAAAGTCGAAGGCGCATAGAAAACTTTTGGGTAAAAATTCGCACCACCTGCGGTAACAATTTTGACTCAAGTGGTCAATTGGAAGTAAGAGTAACATGGAATATTGCATATATGGAAAGTTGAAATATTTTCTCTTTCATTTTCTACTCCTCATAGAAAACTTATAAAAGAAATAGTCTACTTAATATATAAAAAGAGAAAAACAACAGCCAGTTAAGCGAATCGACTGGCCGCCGTTTCCCGCTTTTGGAGAGAGATACATAAACGTCTCTAGTTGTCTAGGACGTTGTATTGCTTAAAAGAGTTTGCGGCCTTAGTGCCAGGTGAGACTCAAATAAGTACCCTTCGAATGGAAGGAGAAGGAGAATATGGTGATAGCACGTAATGAGAAACCGCTGTGGTGAAGTCAGCGAGAGTGGTATGGCCATGTTGATTTTCCTCTCAAGGCGGTTGTATTCGGAAGGAGGGTTTCAGTTGCTAATTCGCGGAAAATTTTTTTTGAATGTCTTTGGAACTTGAATTTCTGTCCAAAACATTGGCCAGTGATCGAATAACGGGAAAAATATTTCTGAAAGACATAAAGGAATATACACTCCCATGTTTGGGCTATATAATGCCTTGGATGTAGCATGTGTCTGTAGCATGTGTCTAGGCGTAGAGGGGTAAATTTAATTTTTAAATTGCCTGCCAGTAAAATTGACATTTTTTCATTGATTCTCTCTCAAAAATAATTTTTTTTTAATTTTCTGGCTGCCTGCCTATTTACTACATATTTTTAAAATTTTTAATTAAGAATCCTCCATTAATTCTTTAAAATGCTATTAAACATTTTGTTTGTCTGTTTGTTAGCTTTTCTGGTTAATCTAAACAATGTTTATGGTGTAGGCAATGAGGAGAATGGGAAGTAAGTAGTATATTATTAAATAAGAATTTGTTCTTGTTTTTGATTCTAGTTAAAATTTTGACTTTTTTGATTCTATCTCGACTGATAATTAATCATTTTAGAGTTATTTGGGTAATTAGGGCCATTATCTTACTTAGTTTTATTTTCTTGCCTAATTTATTCTGAGGAGAGATATTCTGATATTAACACTAAAATCAAATAGCTAAACTCTTTTTTTGTGGAAAGATTAATTATAAAATAGTCTACATTTAAGATAAATTTAGTTGATAAAATTATGTTGTTCTAGAGTAAGAATTATTTCCAGCTTACTGGACCATATGAGCCTTTCCTAAACAATATGAGAGAATTTTATTACTCAGAATGTTCCTATATTTAAAAAAGGAATTATTATTTTAAAGTTTAACTCTCTATTATTCTTATGTTTTCTTCAATGTATTTTCTTATTTTTCTCCTTTATCGGTTGTTTATCCCACTTTCTTTCTACATCTTTCGAAATATTCTAAAATTTATTTAAGCAGTGCGCATGTCAAAGCTAAAACAAAAACACGACAATTACACATTACTTCTGAAAATGTGGACACTATACATGGGAATTCTATCAACCTCAAATCAAAAGTAAACCGCTCGAGAATGCCGTCATCATCCTATGCTACCCAATCTGAAGGAAAAAATGTTTTGGAAATAAATAAGAAATTTAGCAGAAAAGATTACATTAAATATAACCAAATGTTTACGTTCAAAATTCATCAACTTGACGTCATAATTAAACATATAAATCAAAATAAAAATTATATAACCGAGCCGGAAGAGTTGGAAAATTCAATTAACGAAATTCGCAAAGTTCTTATGCGTGAGGATAAAAATGTTTTGGTTGAAAAATTAGACAAGTAGGGAATATTTAATTATGTTTGTTGAGTCCGCAGAAGAATATAAATGAATAAAATTAACCCAACATCGGGTTAGATGTGACACACAGTCGGTTGTGCTCCGGTCGGGGCATTCCATTATGGTTCTATTCTCTACATCCAATGAATTTTTGGTCATTATAGTACGTGGGAGAACGGAACCCAATTCAAAATATATACCTATCGATTCATCTCGTCAAGCTGAGTTCGAATATTCAAATCTATTTCTAAAACTCGCAGAGATACAAGCTTCTTAAAATCGAATATCCTTTGGGAGTGGTAGTTTATTTTTAGGCTCGCTTGACTCGCGAAGCTTTTTATTGTCGATCCGATCTCTAATTTACTCTAATGTTTAGTTATTTATTAATTAAATTTTAAAAGATTTTTGGTCGAGAACGAAAATATGATCAAAACATTAAAGAATAAACCACCTACAATAAGACAACTTTTAGAGAAAAAAGGTGAGGTTAATGTGCCTTCCTTTGGTATTAGTTTGAGAGAGCAAGCCCAAGAAGCTGTTATGTCAATAAAAAGATTATTGGAAACAGGAAAAATTTGTTAGAAATTGTAAGATTTTTTGGAAGAGATTCGGATGTAAATATAGAGTAACAGAAAAACGTTAAATTTTAAATGATATTCATTGACTATATTCAAAACAATGTTTTGGCCTTATTTTTATCCCTTACAGCTCTCTAGTTTTCAATTGTATATATTTTACTTTTTATATATTTTACATTATGTTTATTTTTATTTATTACTTGAGCAAGTGTTTTTAGGTATAAAAATATAAAAGCAAAACTAGACAAACTACATAGATCACATAAAACAAAAATTGTTTTTATTCCGTTCTCAAAATTTATTTTCCAATAAGTTTATGGTGAAAGGAAATGCAAAAATGTCCTTGTCGATCGAGAATGATTTTGAATATAAAGATGTGAGTAAAGCAAATTTACATTCAGCGTTATTTATTTTGTATTGAGACGATTCCATATCCGTTAATAAATTTTAAAAATTCCATCGGCACTAACTTTAACATTCCCAATCTAAAATAATATAAATTTTCATTGACGATTAAGACTTATTGTTAATGTACATACCAGTTATTGTAATCTAGAAATTATTTGAATAGTCTGATTTTTGCAATAATAAGCAAAACTTTGCCATTGAAATCCATTGTTAATATGCAATAGATAATAATCGAGAAGGATTGCATCAATTCCAAAAATTAACAAATTTTAAAACAAACTAAAATTTGTTTAAAAATATAGAAACATTAACTAAAAATTTAAGCTTTTACGAGTTTTTGCCATCCAAAGCCCTTTTAACAACAAAATCAGTCAACAAAATCAGTCAATAATAATGCATTAATTTTTCTTGTGAATATCATATGAATTGATTTAACATTAATTGATTAAAATTCTTCTCCTCTTAGAGAGGTAGTCTAGACATTTAAAATAGCAAAACATTAGACTAATAAATTATAAAAACAATAACAAAACAATTGAACGATGTTTATAAAATATATTAAGGAATAATATGATAAAAAGATTAAGCAGAGTATAGCTACGTAGAAACTATTCTGGACTATTCCAGTCTCTTTTTCTCTGTCGATAGCCCCTTGTGCATTCTCACTACGATACAAAATTATTAGTGACCGGGGCCGGACCGGATCCGGCCGGATTTTTCCGGAGTCCGGGTCCCAAATCCAGGGTTTTTTTTTAAATTTCCGGATTAAAACCGGACCGGATTTATTCGGAAAAATCCGGCCGGATCCGGTCCGGCTAAAGTTGCAAATCCGGAATCCGGATCCGGAAAAATTGATTTTACCTGTCACTAAAAATTATATTTTTTAAAACACAACGCCAACAATTAATTAAGCGATTTGAAAATCATTTAAATTTGGCGAATGATATTGTTTCAAATGTTTCTATGTTTTTCACTTTCTTCTTGCTTTGGTGGCATGTTTAACATTGGCTACAAGGACATTCATGGATTTTGCTTTGTTGATGTTTCTCTCTTTAAAAACACTCAAGTTTTAGCCAATCATAAGGGCAAGTCAGCGCGATTCCTCGCATTACTCGTTGACATGCACTCTAAATCAATTTTTGGGGCATGCTCCCCTTCCCCTATAGGGAAATTTTTTGAAGGGCAGGCATGTCGACCTCTCCATTTAACATAGAGGGATTTATTCATTGCCTAGCCATTCGATTTCTCTAAAAAAATTTTTTGTCAAATTTATTCAAAAAAGTATTGCATTTGAATATTTAATTTTGCTTATCGCCCAAATTTCTTTACGGCAAAAATCAAAGAGGAAAATATCTTTTGACATAAAGCGCACTCATTAAATACAAGACCTTTTTTGGTTAAATTTAATGCTTTAAAACAACTAAATTGTATAAAAACATCAAAATTTGTTATTGTAAAATGTGTACAAACAAAAATAAAATTGTTATTCGTCTATTAATGTTTTCAATATTTTATTTAATGATTTATTTAACTACTACTGATGCTGTTGGGAATATATTTTTAAATTGGTAAAACATGACAAATTCTTTTGATTGCCGACAGCCTTAGAAAATTTAGCCATAGGGCAGGCGACCTCCCGGCAGTTACTGCGACCTCTTAAAAGTTTTTGCTTGACGGCCTTCGTCATCTCAATTCGTTGGGAGCAGGCCAACTTACCGCGAGCCCAACTTACCGCAGAGCTATAACTTTGTTCAGAATTCTCAAATCCGGGACAACTTGGTATGATTCGACGCGCCTCGACGAGCTGAATCGAACCATACCAGGTCATGGATTCGAGAATTCTGAACAATTTATAGCTCTTCGGTAAGTTGGGGTGTACCCCAATTCGTTTTACTGACTGTCTGACCGCGGCGTTCTTGTTAGATCTACGTCTATAAAGTGTATTAATTGTTGGACTTGCTCTATTGTTGGACTTGCTATTGCTTACAAAGAAATTAATATAGGGAAGAATTTTTTTATTCCAATATTTACATTATTTTTTCAGTCTCAAGCCAACATCTAAAAAGTCAAAAAACCGCGGAATTGTAATTGACAACAATGATCTAGTAGATAATAACAAGAACAAAGACACCCTTCATATATCTCAAAGCAAGGCAGAAATTTCCAAACCAATTGGTAAACAAATATCTGAAGATATAATTGGAGAAATAAAAAGTGTAAAGGTTATTTTAACTCTTTGAAGAGCTTTAAGAGTTGCTCCCATATTTTTCCTCCTTCAATAAGGGGTTAATTGTCATCTCTCTATTTATATTACCGTAAATGCTCGAATAACTACCCGGGGTAATTATTGTAATTACTCGCTGGAGGGGGTAATTAATCGAGAGGAGGTGCTAAATTTGGGGTATATCTCAATATATCGAGGAGGAAATCGATTTATTTTTTGATATTATATCTTAAAAGGATTCAATAATTAAGAATGACAATGGTTTTTTGAATATTTTTAAAATTTTTGTAGGAAAAAGAGGTTTAATCATTAAAGGGGGTAATTATCTGAGAGAGGGTAATTATTCGAGCATTTACGGTACATTTTATTTGATGGAACCGTCATTGAATGTGACCGAAGCACAACCGACTGTGCCTCCATCCAACCCGATGATAGTTAGCATTTATTATGTTGCTTATATTCCTTCTGTAAGTTTTCATATTTAATCATTTCAGAAGTACACCGATGCCGAATCTTCTCATCCTTCACCATCAACTAGTCATTCCGCCAGACCTTCAAGTTCAAAGACATTTTCCAAAAAATATTCAAAAAGTCAGCAAAAAGGAAAGAAACTAGCCACAATACAGGAAGGATGCATATATTACAAGCAAGGAAAGTACAATGAAAACATGGAAAAACAGCTTGGATGGGAAATTCATTCTCTCAAAACATTAATTGGACATATGTATGAAAAGCATGGTATAGATGAAGGAGCAAAAATTTTCCTTAATGATATTTTACAGCCTGAAGAATTAAAAGAATTTATTGAAAACATATGCCAAGCTATAAATTATGCTGAAAACCTAAATCATCTAATTCAGTTATTAGACGGGTATTATATTTACATATTTTAATTAATTTTATTCCTGAACCAGAAATTTTTTACTTAACCATATTTAAATAGTACATATACCATTTATTTAGGATAATGTTAAAATTTTATATCTAAATTAGAACATGCGGTACTCTAGTAAAGTCCACATTTTTCGATATTTATTGGCATTATTTATTTGTAATAATGTAAGGGATACGGTTCTGTAAAATTTTTAAGTTAATCGGTATTTATCGGTATCGTAATTTTAATTTTGTTGCATTCGCTTAATCAAATAAACAATTTGCATTTTCACATGCAAATATAAAAGTGACCTTGTTCTAAATATAAAGGTCTCCCGACATTCCCAACCAATTCTTGACTCTTTCTTAATTTAGTTATTCACTTTCTGTTTATATATTGACCATAAAATTGTCTATATAAATAACCAAACATTCTCCCCATTATCAGATTTGACCTAGCCAATCTCTCCCTTATTATTGTGCCCATATTTATATGGAGAATAAATTAAAATAAATTAATAGGATAAATATTAATGTAATTCAGTCTAATCTAAGTCCCTAAAATAGTAGAACCCGAGTAAGCTATATAATCCTCAAATATAGCAAATTTATAGTACATGATTTCGAGCTATAAATCAAACCCACATGATTCCTTTCAAAATTAATCTTTAAAATTAAAGTTTTATGAGCGAGAACGAAAAAATGCTCGAGAAAGAGAAGAAAGAAGGGGAAAAACCAAAAGAATTAACTCCAGAACAAATAGAGATAAAGTATGTCCGAGAAAATTATGACGAAATAGTTAATGTAATTAATAATGAAAATATAACAACGACTGGTTATAGTTTACGTGAGGATATTCGAAATATACTTGGAAGACTTATACAAAAAATATCTAGTCAAGGAAAATTTTATGATTATGAAGGAATAGAAATGTCTAGTGAAGAAGATTGAAAGAATCAAGAGTTATAGGGAATTTTACAAGATTTGAACAAAAACGGACGGAAGAAAAAAGGAGTGGAAGAAATGTAGAGTTGTATAAACATAGGAGCGTCTTTCGACAGAAAAGATAATAGGGAAACAAAATGATGTAATGCATATAGCTATTTAATTCCTAAGGCTGTGCAGTAGGCGGCGTGGTGTAATGGCTAACACATCAGTCCGGTCTACTGAAGATGCTGGTTCGCTCCCAGCCGCCGAATAAACTTTTGCTCTAGCTGAAGGAGATAAATAGCTATATAGATTTTGTTTCTCCCTCTTTTGTATGTTATTTTCTATCGCAAAACGCAAATCTTTATTATTTATCCTTTTTATAAACATACTTTTTATATATGTTCCCAATAATGTTATGGGACGGATACATATCAGGGAGATTGATAACTTATTTTAAAGTAAGGCGAGACATATCCACATCAATTTATTTATTGTAGTAAAGCAGCTGGGCTATAGCTTTTCCTCTCCTTCAGCTAGTGCAAAGGGGTTATTCGGCGGCTGGGAGCGAACCAGCATCTTTAGTAGACCGGACTGATGTGTTAGCCATTACACCACTCCGAATACTTTACAGCCTTAGGAATTAAATAGCTATATGCTTTACATTATTAACCAATTATTGTTATAACAACTACATTTTCCCATGTAACACTTTGTACTTCTCTTTTTTCACCCACATATGTAAATCATTTCCACTTTACTATTAATCAGTTGTAGTTATGCATGATTATATACTCTGTTCCAAAAATATACATCCATCTATATTTTGCGGCTTAAGTCCGTAAGTTGTTAACGGATTTGAATAAAAATTTTATACAGAATGCAGAAAGACGTTTTAAAACTATATATAAAATTTGAAAAAATTCTAAAGATGCACTTTTATATATTCTAAAGATGCACGTTTTAAAACTATATATTTTATATATAGTTTTAAAACGTACTTGCAACTATTATTTGTAAAATAGGTGTCCCATAAATATACATCCGCTTCCAAAAAAGTTATTTCCAACGATAGGAATTAACTTTTTTGTTGTCTCTTATTTCCACCTTATGTTGATTATCATAACTATGTATTTATTCGAAAACTAAATAAATATTATGAATTGGATTATGAATTGGATATTATGAATTTAATCATTGAGTAGTTCCGAAAATAGTTTCAAAAGAATGACCTGCATAGCTTAAAGATTCGCGATCATTTAAAGATAAACAATAATCTGATTTTTTTATCATTCTAACAATCTTTGATGCCTTTAAAGTGCAAGTTTCGTATTTTTAAAGACAAATATTTACTTGTTTTATAATTTTTAAACAAATATTTTTATTTCAAAAAGAAAATATGTCTAACTTTGTTTACTTGGCTTTATGTCTGTCTGGACAACGCTATCATACACCTCGAGGGGCTGTAGTTTTTTGGCATATTTCCAAATCTATCTCTAATAGACAGTCAATAAAATATTTTAAAGTCTTTAGCTGTTGACATTCTGTCTTTTTGGCTATCTCTTGGCCATGGCAATTTTATATTTGCCAACACTTTTATTTTCTCTATCTATTTCTCCCCCCCCCCCTGGACAGGAATAGGACATCACCCTTCCCTCCCCTTCTCTCCCTTCACTATTATTGAATTTTTAATATAGATTTTTGATTTTTTCATTAAAAATTCTTATTAATTAAAGTTAATTTGCCTTATGTTTAATTAAACATAATTAAACAAATTATTTAAAAACCTCCAAAAATGTATTCGAAAAACAAAGGAATTATTCAATTATTTGTATATTCCCTTTTAACTACCAGTCTTTTTATTTTTTTGTGTAAACCATACCTTGTGGATGCAGGGAATTGCTTCAGAAAAACTAAAAAGAGGTGGGGGGTTTTAAATATTTACTTCTCGGAATTCAAAAATATAAATTTTTGCGCAAGCGCGACAATACCTTATTCAAATAAGTTTATAATAAATACCTAATTATGGGGTACTATAATTACAAACGTTTTTTTCCAATTATTCAGAATAAAATATAATAAAGGGTATTATTATAACGAATATCAGAATAAAAACCCTGGTAGTTTCCCTAGCATTGTCTAAAAAGCATTGTCCTAAGCATTGCCCTCTTTTCAACCTCTCACTACATGGGTAATTAATTGAGAGGGGGCAATTATTTGAGAGAGGGTAATTATTCGAGCATATACGGTATTGAGATGATTCCATTATGGAACTTTTACTTATAATGCATGAGGGAAATAGATGATTAGTAATAGTAAAAGGAAAATTACTCTGAGATTCATATAGGGAGAGGGTAGGATTTTCTAAATTACCGACAATTCCATGGTAAATTGTGGATAACCGAATATTTCTTTCATGCAGATCTGGCTCTAACGGTACAACGCCCAGACCAAATTATGTTCAATATCAGAATATTCAGCATGAGCAAAAATACACAGATAATGGAAATAATAGTCCCCAACATTATCACGTAACCTCTAATACACGGACATACTATCCAAACACATCAATGAGTTATGGTGAAATTAGTGATCAATGGGGCTCGATCAGCGATTCTGATGGAACTAGTGATACTGAATCAGGTAATAAAATAGTGTTAGATAGAATTTCCAGCTGCTTGTTAAGCTGCTTGTCGATTTTTTTAACTTCATTTCCGACTGACATGTATTTACATGTTTGATTTATGTATGATCTTTTATGTCTTAGAAATCATATTTTTATGCATTATAAATAATTGGAGCGCGAGGCTCAAGAGTGCCCCGGTCCCTTCAGAGCGCCGGTTCAGGGGGTTAGGAAACTCGATGAAAACAAGGGGGAGGCGCGGTGAAATTTAATCCTAAAAATAATTAGCTCAGGGGACATCTGTTCAACAAATATTTTATTAAAGGTAATCCAAATACGGGGTGAAACAAATAAGTTCAAATTAAAAATAAATTGAAATTGAAATAAAAATAATTAAAAATACAAAAATCAGAATTAAAAGAATTAAATTATTATTTCAATTTCTCCATTCTTCCAGGACTGATCATTCCAGAGTGTATTTGTTGTTAAGAGGGGCGGGAAAGACAGGAAAGACATGGGAAACAAATAAAAGATTTAAAGGGGAGATAAATGTTTGGGAAAGGGATATTGTGAAATTGAAGAAATAAAAATAAATTAACGGGGAATGGTATCAGATGTCCCCGCTACATTTCCTTGGGTAATTATTGTTTCAACCTCTCACTGGAGAGGGTAATTATTTGAGAGAGCCCCGCTACAAAATGGAAGATATGTACTATAATATAAACAAAAAATCGTAAACTTGAATGCATTTCAATAAAGCTACTAGTCGATTGCGACTGAATAAAGTTTTTTAGACTGAGGGCAGCCCTGTTCCTATAGAAATATATAAATACCCTGTAAATACGACAAAGTATAAAGAATTTATTATTTAGATACTGAATCATCTGATACTAAAAATCCTTCTAACTTGTCCTCCTCATCAACAAAAGGGAAAGAGAAGGTAGAGGCAGCTGCAGAAAGTTCTAATCAGTCTGAAAAAATTAATTTGGAAAATTCGAAATTGAATGAAATTGTTGAATATATTATACATAACATTAATGATATAAATAAGCCTGACAAATTGATACAGTCTATTGACAGAATGCGCCCTGTTATGCTTAAAAATAAATATTATACGAAAAAGGATATCAGAATATTGAACGGGTTTGAATTTTTATTTGAGAAGGGGGATGGGGGGGGGGAGGATTGTATATAAGAGGGATTGGATGGAAGAGGGATTGGACAAGAGGGATCGACGTTGGATGGAGGGGGGCGGCAGGTTCGATTTCTTCTGATCTTATGTCGTGGGTCCTTCCCTCGCTTTTGATTATGTCACCGATTTTATTAATTTAATCCACAGTTTTATGAGCGAAAATGCAAAAATGTTAAATCTCCATCATAATGAAGGGATCCCAAATCTCCACCCATCTGATTATTACATAAGACAACAACTTCAAAAATTTGTTGGAAATGTAAAATTTCAAATATTTTGTAACGGAAATGAAAATCAATTTGAGCAACTGAGTTCTGCTTTTGAGGGAGTCCGAGATAGATATGGAACTATGATTAACTCAGTAAAAGAAACTGTGATTAAATCAAATAATTTAAGTAATCAAGCTATTGTAGGTTTTTATTGTACTTTTTACTTTGAATATTTAATCCAGAAATAGCTAATATATTAATAGAGGGCGGATCTAACTTTTTCCATATACCTAATTCGTAAGCCTAGATTAACACTAATGTACTATACATATAAGGGTAAAATTTTAAATTATTTCAATTCTCTAGAAATATTACAACGACTTTCGAAAATACATTCAAATTGCTACTAACTCCGAACAAGCAAAACTAACATTGAAGGAACTAATATTATCAAAATATAGCAAAGCTAAGGAATTGCAACGAGATGTTCTAATTTATGTAAATCCAAATGATTCTAGAATAATTGAATATGATCAATTGGAACCCTATTTCGAATTATACTGTTTTGTTAAATTTATCAAAAATGTAGGAGAAGAATTTTTTACAAATGCGATGGAGACTATAAATGAGGTATAATCGAGAAGTATTTTTTATTTTTTTTGATTGTTCCATGAGTTATCCTTTTTCAGTCAAATTGAGTTGAGGGCCTTCCAAATGTCGGAATAAATTGATGTTTGTTGAATTAAAGGAATAAGGTTCTCGGCACTCCTCTTCCCGTCTATAACAGTCAAAAAGTAATTTTCATGCTTTGAGTTTATTTCTACACCCCCAAACAACCATACACTAGTTTTTGAAGGCCCACGACCTCGTCAATACTTTCGACGGACAACAACCGTCTTATCTATTTCACATTTTATAGCAATAAATTTGATAATGATATTACAAAATATTTTTAAATACCTTTTCCTCCAATCATCTGGTTGTTTAAGAAATAAAGTTCTCACTAAAGTTCTTATAGCCGTTAAATGTAACTTCTATATCAACCGGGAATATTTTTATTTTATTTTAGAGTTAAGCCAAATTATGTGTAGAAGCCTTTCTAACCTAAATAATTTTTTTAATCTTTAGGAAAAAGTAAAACAAGTAAAAAGTTCAACACAACAACAAACCATACAAGAGCAATGGAATTATTTAAAGAGGGCTTTGAATAGTTTTATTCTGACATACAATAGATTTGATAACTTTTGCAAGTTGGAGGATAATATGAAAATTTTAGAAATGTATAATGGACACCAATGTGGTGATTATATTATCAACTCTGATTTACCGGAAACTTTGGAAGAATTTGTCACGATTTAGATATAACTGATTATAGAAAGTAGACTGATTATAGAAAGTAGCCTAGATTGTTGCTAGGCTTCAATAATAATCGAAAAGAAATATTTTCTATGTTATTAAGTCTATCACAATAAGTAATAACTTCTTGTCAACAACATCCTTAACACACCCACAAGCCACTCAGGCGCACCACGCTCTCTACACATGCACGCCCTCGCACGTGCATACGAAGAATTTAAGAAAATTGACAAAATTTCATCTTTTTGGGAGATTTATTGTCCAGATGAATCGTAAATTTACGCGCACCCTCAACACCCGCGCCAAAAACACACGCACATCCTTTTCATACGCGTGTACACTGAAAAATAAGGAAATTGACAAATTTTATCTTCTTTTCCTTAATTTTGTAAGTTTACCCCTAAAAAGTGCAACTCCTTTACACTAAATCTGAAATCATCTACTTTGTCTCGCTAATTATGTAAAATTACCCCTAAAAACTATGTCTTCTTTTTATTAATTTTTTAATATTTTTAAAATTGTAGCTTTGATTTACTAACTATGTAATTTTACCGCTAAAACTTGTGACTCCTATTGAATAATTTTTAAAAAATTGTATTTTAAAATTTTATCACGAATAAAATTGATACAATAAATTGTGTAAAAACAAATTAAAATTTAGTTAGAAAAAATAGTGAAATCAAAATATTGTAATAGGAGTGTGGCTTCGCCACTTGACAGGCATGCCCAAGCTCAAACAGGGAAGTGAGAATTTATACTCAAGTCCGCAACCACCGATTTTCAATGTGAAGATTACCTCACAACATTCGATAGTTGGTATAGAGTTTGGGTGCCCGTACCTCTGGCTACTTTCCGACCCCTATAATTACAATAAAATTCTAGGATGGCGATTATTAATATAACCAAAATTTAGTACAACAAAATCGGAAGGGCGGACAATGCCCTTACCGACATAAGGTTTATAATTTTTAGTAAGGGGTTGAGTGATAATTGATCCATCTTTAATAGATGGTTTAAGAAAATTTGGGTATTTAATTAAAATTGGAATATTATCAATTTTTGTAAAATCAAAAACTTGCTTCTTGAAATTTTCGTAGCAGAGACCTTGATTGTTGATGACATCCCAGTTGAGTGTCATTCCGCGGACTTTGAGAACATAGTCCGGCTCAGCATTGGGAGTAGACTTCTTTTGAAGTTTCAAACCATACTGCTTTGCTCCTCCAGAGCAGTACTCCAAAATATCAAAGTCTGGGTACTCATCAGTAAACTGACCCAGATGAGGCCCTAATTCAAGTGGGCAATTGTTGTCTGGGTGGATGAAGATTAAAGAATCGGTGTCGGTGTATAGTAACTCACACCCCGGAGTCCTTACAACTTTCTGCATTGCGTGTAGAAGGTGAATTCTCGCTGCTGATGTGGTCCAGAGCGAGATTATGACGTTTGATGAGTCATGCTCCTCCACCCAATCTTTTTTCTTAATGTAGTCGATAAGCACAGTCCCATCTTCAGTCAATTCATGACAATGATTAACTGTTATTGCTGGGTCGTCGCACATTTTTACGTATTCACTTGGGTCGTCAGTAATTTTGCATTGGGAGAGTCCAAAGTTACGAAGTGAAAATCGACCCCACAAATTGTTTAGACACAATTTCGCTTGTGTCCGTTTACCCTTATTGACCACCATCTTCTCCCTCTCGATGTTAATCCCAAACATTTCCAGGCACTCTTTCATAAACTTATCTTCCTTCTTCTTGTCACCCTTGATGGTGTTGTCAAAACCAGAAGAGTGAATTTTCTGGGCCATAAATTCATTGATGTATGGGTTAAAGAGCTTGTCGTCGTAGTTTTTGAACTCCAGAACCCTGAAGAGTTTGGTCACCACATACCCCTCCTTGAGGGCTTCGTTTATCTCAATAGACGTACATGTGCTGACCCATCCTCGCTGTTGATCTGAATGCGGACAACAGTAGTTTTCGTTGACATCACCTTTAGGGTACTCTTTTGCACAAGTAGAACACAGGGGAAATAGTAATCGTTCATCGTCGTCTTCCCCAATTTTCATTGGTAAAACAGGAACGTCAATACTTCTCGGTGGTATGACGAATAATTTTAAAAGAGCAGTGTTGTAAGTGTTGTCTTCAGGTTTGGTCCAATTGACATCCATATTGATAACGTGGACTTCTGGATGCCCAACAGGATATCGAGTTGAGACGTTGATAAATGGGTAAAGGGAGGTGACATCGTAGTAAGAAATTTTTTGTCCATCCTCAGCCTTGTGGAATAACTTCAAGGGACCAGTTCTTCCCCCATAGAAGGCCTCTCTAATATTTATTGGTCCATCATCCAGATATTTTTTAAACATCTTCCTCATTTCATAATCTTTTGCTACCATATCAATGATTTGACACTCCCAATATACTGCCACTTTGACCCCCAAATTCCTAATAAATTTTAGACGTTTTTGGTCCTTCTCCCGCTGTTTTCCAGCTGTAAGACCTGTTGGAAGCTTAAGATCGTCGTCAGGATAGCATTTGATACAACCATGCCAGCAGCAACCATTGACTTCAATAGCCAATTTCTTTTCCTCAACCCATCCATCCAATTTATAATTTCCAATTTTCTTCTCCCCATTCTTTGAGTGTGCTGTCCTAATTGTAACGTTATTCTTCTCGCCATACCATTTCAGAAACTTGAGAGCAATTTTACTTTGGTTGTCGACGTTGTCGTAACCTTTTTCAGGAACAATTCCTAAATGGTTGGCTTTGAGGTGATTCATGCGGAAGTGCTTCATGCAGGCAGAAGCAATTGTCATAGCTTCACGAAGAACATCCAAGCCATTGGAGACTTCCAAAAATTCCGTTCTGAAGGCAATGAGCGCAGCCATGAGGATCTCCACATCGTTGATACAATATGCTGCTAGTTGTTCATTTAAGTTGAAGGGCTCATTTTTATGTTGGTCAAACCATTTATCGAACTGAGCCCTCTTTTCAGGCATCATCCCATTAGCAAGGTAATCTTCTTTTGTCGGAAAGATTTCTTTCCCATAATTCTTTGGGTTGTTGGCCAGGTGAGGGAAGAAAGGTTTGTCTTCCATTTTAAGAGCAAAGGCTGGTACTAGCGAAGCCAACGGCATTGGCATTAGATTGTATGTGTCTCTGAAGATGACCCAGCATTTTTTATTGTTCTTCACCTTCATCTCATACATTTTGTTACCTTTCTTTATCATTTCTGGGATTAGGCCTTTGAGATACAATGTCTTGAAGACTAGGACCATATCAAACCTTCCTCCAAAATGAGAGAAGGCTATTGTATCAGTAGAAAAATTAGTGATCCAGGTTACAAAATCAGTCAGAGGATCATTAGTAACATTTTGTTGATCGACTTGAGTGTTGGAAAATGGTTGGTGGGAGAAGGTTATAGTTCGATCCTCCCCACAAATTTTACAGTTGTTATTCAATCCGTTACTAATACACTCGGGGCAGTTGATTTTTGCAGATATAAAATTCACTTCATGTAATTTCCCTTTTTCGTCTTGCCTGTGTTGCATGGTTTCAAAGTCAAAAGCGATAATCCGGTACGGTTTTGGCTTTTTTTGAGTTAGAGATTTGATGAAGCATCCTCTTTTAGGGTCATGGAAGCTAAAGCAGGTGGTGCAGTAACGTTCTGAACAAACATGACCAGTACGTCCATTCCGGTTGTTCACAGCAACATTCCATATAACTCCACATTTCTCACATTTCTTAGAGTTGTGGCAAAATTTAGATTTGAGATGATGGTCATAGCAGTTATTGTTGTAAAATTCTTTATCACAACCAGAACAATGTTTGAAGTAGTTATCTAAAGGCTGGCATGGGTAATTGGGTCCGATCCTGGAGCAATTTTGACATTTTGATGTGCAGGTGATAGAATGATCTTTTGGGCGGTGGTATACCTTTTCACAGGCAAGGCAATAAGGCTTTCCAAATAAATCACCTGCCTTTCTAACTCCATCAAAATGATTATTGTTGTAATAAAGAAGAATTGGAGTAGTGTGATTTTCATCCCCATATTTAAAGATAGGTTTTTCATCTAATTCTCCAAAAATAAAAACTTTAAACAGGCCATCATTCCTTGAATTCCAATAATCAACCACCTTGGGTACCCATTCATTTGCAGCATAAGTAGGTTGACCAGGAGGAGCTCCTACATTTTCCATCAAGAATGTTGTATCATGTTCCAAACGTTTCTTCATTCCTAATCTGCTATGCATATAGTCATAGAACTTCCATTTCGGCCATGAG